AGAACCCATTGTGGCCATGTTGGGTGGTGATGCCACTCTGCCCTGCTACCTGTTCCCACCAATGAACGCCGAGGACATGGAGCTGCGGTGGTTCCATACCAAGTTCTCAGAGGTGGTGTTCGTGTATCGGAACCGCCAGGAGCAGCACAAGGAGCAGATGCCCCAGTATGCAGGGCGGGTCTTGCTGGTAAAGGAACTCCTCACCCAGGGGCAGGCTGCCGTGCACATGCAGAAAGTCTGGGCTTCAGACAACGGGACGTACACCTGCTTCTTCCAGAAGGGAGGCCGCTATGCAGAGGCCATTCTAGAACTTCAGGTGGCAGGTGGGTGGCTTGATCTGTATTCTACATTTAGACCTTGGGAGTATCGGAAACTCACGTAATTAAGCCTCTCGTTTTACATGTGTGGGAAAGACGGCTCACTCGCTCAATCTTTGTTTCTTCAATAGAAATCTCACATATGGAGCCCTAGTGTATGCCATGCCTTGTTTTGGGTACCAGAGACTCATCATTGAAGCAGATTCTTGCCCTGTGTAGTTTATGATCTAGAGGCTGAGATAGAAAAAGCAAAATAAATGACTGGTTGGATGCTGTTAGAAGGGGATAATTGCTAAAGATAAAAAAAGACAAAGAACAAGTGCGACAATGAAGGGAACAAGATATGGGATGGAGATTTGAGGGCAGCCTCTGGCGTTACACGGGAATCAGGTGGGGCCGGGTTGTTGATCTCAGCAGAGCTCACAGGAAGCAGGTGTCTCACCAAGTGGATATCTGGGGACACAGAGTTCAGTGTTGTGAGGTACCCAGAGAGAAACCCTTGGTATGGGAGCCAGTCTGGTGTGCTCGGGGCATTCAGGGGGGCACTGGGTGAGTGGGGGGTAGTGATGTGGGGATGCAGGAGGTGCCAGGAGGACTGCAATAAAGAGGTCGATATTCCTGGACTAGCACTGCCCACACTGACCAGGAAAAGGTCATTCGGCATAGACAGCATGCTAGCCCCTGAGTACTGTGGTAAAAATCCCAAGAGCCCTCTGTGGGCTGGAATGTGAGCAGGCAGGGGTCACACAGCGCAGCAACCATGGCCATTCACAGTGAACCAAGTAGCCCTTGCACCGGGTGTGTGGTCTGTGAGGGGCACAGGTAGTGGGGTTTGGGGTGAAGCAGGGTAGGAGTACAAAGAGGATCCGAGGTCAGTGCAGGTGCTGCGTGCTGTGTTGGGGTCTGCATGCAGGAGGGCAAACTTTCAACAGAGCAGGGAAGGAGCACTGACTGAGGTGACTGGGAGGAGGTGAGTGGGAGGTGAGCAGAGGGAGGCGTGGAGAGCAGTTCTGAGGATTTGAGGACGACTGTGTGACCTCAGACAGCCACAGTGGGGTGGGGGCAGGGGCAGACGTGGGGGCAGTCCAGAAAGCAGACCCAGCTGAGTGAGTGGATCTGGGACACAGAGAGTTAGGAGGGGGCAGCGGTGACTGCAGAGACTCCCAGGGGATTGCACTGCTGTCTGTTCTTCAGTGGTGGGAATATTGGTAATTGTGTGTCAAGGACGCTTTCCTGTAGTAACTGTATAAAAAAGCCAGGAAATCTCAGTGGCCTATGGCAAAGATATTCATTCAATATGGGCATTGAGTAATTTAAACTGATCTGGGTTGGATTTGCTCATACATTGTTGGTCTGGTTGTGGCAACTAAAACCAAAACCAAGGTTCTTTCCCAGAAATCCTCTTTGCAAAGGGACTGGAGAAAGACAACACTTTGATTGGTCAATAAAAACCAAACCAGAACACATTCACATCACAGGAAATCCATTAAAAGTTTGCAAAGACAGAAGTAAATCTCTCTTTTTTTGGTGTGTGTAGCCAAGCAGATATAATATGCGTTACACACATTTAAAAAGTCTTATTTAGCTTTATGCAGCTGGGTAGTGTGCCTCACACCATGGTACCCAAGTGCAGAGTGTGCATGGGAGGGAAGAGAATGGAGAGCCCTGAAGTTCCACCTGTGCATTGTCCTGGGCCAACACCATTACTGCTTTGTGACCTTAGTCTCCTTCTACTTATCAGCTTCGTTTGGGGCCTCGATGGCCCTATGGCCATGGGCTTTAGTCTGGCACTGTGTGGGGCCAGCTGCCACTCTCTGAGCTCCTGGCATAAACAGCCTTCTCCAAGGATGGGGGCTTGGTGGGTGGGGCGGGGACCTCATGCGGAGCACCTCAGGGTGGATCCTGCTGACAGCCACCGGGCAGGTGCTCAGCTGCTCCTCCCTCCCCGTCTGGTCCTGCTGGGATCTGCCCCAGTGTGGGCCCCTCACCCCCATGGGTGAACGTGTGGGTCCCTGGTCCATGGAGAGTGTGGTGCCCCAGCACAGAGCACAGTGAGCAATGGCAGTGCTGGTAGGAGCAGTGGCCGATGCAGTGATGATAGCCCTGATGTGGTCCCGGCTGCTGGGCCCTTGGTGGCTCCTATCAGGCTACCTGGCCCCTTTTCATGGTGTGATGAGGGCCCAAAATGATGGTCAACAGCGGTCTGAGGTGTAGGGTTGTTGAATAAATTGCCCAGAACATGAACAAAAGTTTTTTTTTTTTTTATTTTTACTCATTTGAAAGGCAAGCAACACAGAGACAGAGAGATCTCCCGTCCACAGATTCACTCTCCAAATGTTTACAATAGCTGGGGTGTGGCCAGGCTGAAGCCAGGATCCCAGAACTTCTGAGTCTCCTATGTTGGTCTCAGAGACACAAACACTTGATCCCTCACCTGCTGGTTCCCAGCGTGCATATCCAGGAAGCTGGATTGGAAGCAGACGGGAACTGGAACTCAGGCACTCAGATATGGGATGTGGGCATCTCAAGCGTTATGTTAACTTCTGCACCAAATGCCTTCATCCATGTTTTCAACATAAACAACAATTAATCCTCAAATAAGACTTGAAGCAGATATAATACCTGCTTATCACACAGAGCTCACCCTAAATGGACCTAGTAATTGTAGTGGCCATCTATCTTAGTTAATAGGCTTTATCTGGAGGGAAAACAAACTTCTATTTTTTTTAAAGATTTATTAATTTTATTTGAAAAGCAGAGATACAGAGAGAGAGAGAGAGGGAGAGAGAGAAAGTGGGAGGAAAGGAGGCGGGGGAGAGACAGAGAGAAAAAGAGAGACAGAGAGACAGAGAATTTTTCTTCCATCTGCTGGTTCACAAATGGCTGCAATGGGCCTGAGCCAGGCTGAAGCCAGGATCCAGGAGCTTCTTCCGGGTCTCCTAATAATGCAGGGGCCCATGTATTTGGGCCATCTTCAGCTTCCTTCCCAGGCACATGAGCAGGTAGTTGGATCAGAAGTAGAGCAGCCAGGATTCCTACAGGTGCCCATAAGAGATGCCAGGATGGTGATCAGAGGCTTAACCTTCTAACCTCAGTGATAGCTTTACTTGTCCTATTTTTATAACTGAAGTAGTCTCACTTACTGATGTGAGCCTCTGATGCTTCCACAGAAAGGAGGAGAAAGTAGTACTGTCTTATAAAATATGTAAATTTAAAATATATAAAAATTTATAAAGCATACAAAAATGTTTTCATTTCGATGTGTTGTCTCCCAGGTCCCTGAAGAAGGCATTCCTGGGTCATTAAGCTGACAAAAGGCCTATGTGCTTTTCAAAATGATAATATTTCAATGAAGAGAAGCATTTATAGTTCCCAGTGTTCTAATGTTAATGCCCTAAAAGGGAGGAGAGGGGGAATTTTCCTCTGATTTTCAACAGGGAAAGAGATCTTACTTCAATACTCATTGTTCTTGTAGTCAGCTGGGGAGGTCACCACGTGGACCGTGCCTGGGTATGTTCCCATTCTTGACTGTGGCTGCCCTAGGACAGCATCTCCCAGAGAGGCTGGGTGACCAGCAGAGTGCCCTGAAGTCTCATCCTGTAGTGGCTGCCCTAGGCGGGTCCTTCCTAAGGCAATGGCAGAGGCAAAATCACTGACACAAGTGCTTTTCAAATGTCTCCTTAAGTCCCATGGGCTGGTCTCTCATTGGCCAGAGTGAGTCACATGACCAACCTCAGAGCCAGAATGTGAAGGAGCTACACCATGGTGGAGGGCCAGCTCCTTTGAAGAAGGATAAAGTACACGTGTATTTAATACTCAATTATCACACATAGGTCACAGGTGTGAACTCAGTTCTGGAATTGTGAGTTTCAGTGTCTGTAAGGAAACCTGGCAGAGATAACTCAGGGTGTGGATATGAGGGCAGCAGTGGGGACAGGGTTGTTGACTGGTGCAGTATTGGAAGTGATTTACAGAGAGAGGCAGTGGGAATCATAGCAGGTGCCCCAGGACTGAGTGGGGTGAGGGGATTAGAGGTTCAGGATGGAGTCCTGGGGTCAAGTTCCTGCTCCTGGTTTCTCTGGGCCTCAGTCTTCCCATCTGCAGAGTTGAGGAGAAAGCCCCCTACTCTGTGCCCCCATGGGTCCCAGGGCTCTTTCCCCTCCTTCAGGCCACGCCCTCCCATGGAATCTCCAGAATGGAACACTGACTCCCCTGTAGCTGTGCCACACCCACACCCTGCTGAGGCCCTGGGCCAAGTGGTCTCCAAGGTCTCCACAGCTCCCCTCTTGCAGGCCTGGGCTCTGCCCCTCAAGTGCACATTGAAGGGCTGGAGAAGGACGGGGTCCTCGTGGTGTGTGAGGCCTCGGGCTGGTTCCCGAAGCCCCAGGTGCAGTGGACAGACCTCAGCGGGAAGAAGTTCCTGGAGTTCTCTGAGGCCCATGCCCAGGACGCAGCAGGGCTGTTCAGCGTGGAGGCGGCTCTGGTGGTGAGAGACAGCTCTGCAGGGAGTGTGAGCTGCTCTGTCCTCAATCCCATCCTGGGCCAGGAGAAGGTGATGGCCGTGTCCATCCCAGGTCGGTGCTGCTTTTCATTCCTGGCAGGGTTGGGAGGTGGTGCCGGCATCCTTGAGTGTGTGGGGTGGGCCTGGGTGCTCCCCTGACTGGGTCTCTGTCTGGGCCCCAGAGCCCTTCTTCCCGCAGGCCTCTCCCTGGAAGGCAGCTTTTATTGGGATCCTGACGGTGCTGGGGCTCCTGCTCTTTGGGGCTGGCTGCTTCACCAGGAGAGAGCACTCTGCAAAGCTGCAGGAGAGGGAGAAACGGGAGAAGCTGCGCTGGGATAAGGAGGAGGACCAGCGGGCAAAGGAGGAGGCACTGAAGGCCAGAGGTAGGAGGCCAGGGGCCAGACAGGGGGGCAGCTGGTGCTGAG